TTAATGCGAACCTGGAAAGTCCTTCCAGTGAGAAATTCCCTAATCCATTTGTATACTTTCTCATGAAATCCTAGTTTATCCATTTTGTGTAGCAGCTTCCTATGGCTAACTTTGTCAAACGCTTTAGTGAAATCGAAATAAATTACATCGAGGCATTTCTTATCATCCAAAGCCGTAGTCCAAGTCATTGAGGGATTCTAGCAAATTGGTCGTGACGGATTTCCCTGCTACGAACCCATGTTGAGAAGGATGGAATTATTTTGTTCTCCTCAAGATGACGAATAATATGAGATTTAAGAAGCTTCTCAAAAAGTCTACAAAAAAGGGATGTGATACTCACTGGCCTGTAATTGGAAATGTCCGAGGAGGGTGATTTTTTCAAGATAGGAGTGATATATGAGTGCTTCCAGAGTCGGGGGACTTGAGAAAACATGATAGACTGATTAAATATGTAAGCCAGAGGGAAGGAGATAGCATGAGCGATGTTCCTGATAAATACGAAAGGAATATGGTCCGGGGTGATAGAGAATGAGCACGGCCACCTCATCAAAAGATTGTAGATATCGCTCGGGTCGAAATGGGGGAAGGTTTGCATTGTGCTTGGAACAGTGTGAGAGTATGGTGGAAGATGATTGTCATCCTGTTGAAAGGTTTTACTAAACTCTTTGGCGAAAGCATTTGCCTTATCATCGTCATTCAAGAGTAATTCACCCTCATATTTCAAATCCGAAAATTGTGACTCTTTACGGAGTCTAGACCTCATGAATTTGTAAAAGCGTTGTGCGTTCTTAGACTGAATGATATTCTTTTCAACGTTTTTGTTATATTTGAGCAGACGCTCTGTAAACTTCTTAGAAAATGTGTTGAACTCATTCCAGTCACCACTAAGCTTGGCATACCGTAAGAGACATTCTTTATGATCTAGCATATTCTGAAGATAATAAGGTAGATTCGGCTTGCTCGGATAGACATAGACCCAAGGAACGAAAATGTCAATAGAATGATTGAGGATTGACAGAAACATCATGTATTTTTCTTCCACTGTAGGAACCGATTCGAAACGATTCAATCCATAAGATATTAAAAAGGTAATTTGCAACACGTGAGTAATCACATTTAGCAAATAGCCTCTTCAAAATAGGAATAGAAGGTGGCATGCATACCGAAATCTCGAAGCAAATACTGAAATGGTCGCTTTCGCCAATAGGAGACTTCACAGAAACATTCTTAACAAGTTCATGATCATTTGAGAACAATAGGTCCAAAATATTACTCCCCTGGTGGGTTCCACGACAAATTGCTTGAAACCATGCAAAACAAAAGTTTCGGCAAGCGGGTGATATGATTCTTCAACGTCGTACCATCGATCCCATCCGATTTCAGGAAGGTTAAAATCACCTACTATAATTAACCGGGACTGCCGCGGCCGCTAGATCGCTGATAGCCTTGGCTAACTGTTCAGTAATAGTGGATGAGGTCGACGGTGGTCTGTATGCTAATATAATCCGAAAGCGAAATTCAGGGGTGGCGATGTCCGTAACAAGAATTTCGTAACCTTGTGGAACTGACTCACAAAAGATAACTGAATGGTTTATAGTTTTTCTTAGTAAAATTGCCACTCCACCCCCGGCTCTACGGCTTCTGTCACAACGCAAGATAGCATAGTCACCAATCCAGTCATTAAGCATAGAGGATAATGAGTGATGTTTTTTGAGCCAAGTTTCGGTAAAGAGATATAAATCGTACCTACCTCCGGCAACCAGGTCAAGAGAAGATGCAGTTTTTCGGAACGATCTTATGTTCGTATAGAAAACAGATAAATGAAAAAATGAAGTGGATCTACATTGATCATCAGCAGTAGCAAAATACCGGAGACAAGGCTTTAGTTTCCCTGGTTGCTGGAGTTAGCCTGTGAAGACAAGTCTCGGTTATGGCTGACAGCATGAGGAAGATCTGAGTTCAAACGATGTAGACGTTCTTCTCGCCGACGCTCTCTTTCTGGTTTCGAGAGGGACTCTCTTAAAAAGACCCCTCTCCCAGGGAAGGAGCGAAGACGGGGAGCCCGTCGCAGTGCGAGTCGCTGGAAATAAGTTGAGGGCATTACAACTTTCAACAATCTATTCTTGTTCTGAATCTTACGGCCTAATCTATAGACTGAGACAGGCAAACATTCTATATCTAAGTGAGCTAGAATGTTAAGCACACTGTTATAATCGTAAAACAACCTATTTCTGATAAGAGAGTCATCAAGCTCTGGAACACCTGCTATGACCAGTGACCGGAGCCGCTCAGATTCGACACAATCGCGAATAGTGACAGGCGAGGAGGTATCGAATGCTCTACTCTAGGTTCAGATTCACTCAGTGGAACATCGGGGGTGATACCTAGCTTTTGACGTAAAATCAGATTTTCTTGTCTGAGCTTGTCACGCTCTTGTCTAATATCAATGAGCTCATGGATCAGAGAGTTGAACGCATTCTTGACACAGTCGGGAACCATGGTGGAAGTATTGACCTCCCTCATAGCATCTTCCAAACAGGGTAGACTCGAAGCAGGGTATGACGGTGAACTCGAGGGACAGGATCGCTTAGTTCCTTTAAAAACGACGCGGCTAGGAGTGTCCATTTTCACGAAAAAATAAAAGAAAATTGGAACAATAGACCTGCTAAAACGACCCGAACGATTGTATTGATCACGGGTCGTACGTGATCTCCGCGTGTGAGCAAATCAATCAAAAGACAAACGGGCGTCACGATAATACAGTGAATAATTAAGAATAAAGCAGAATTTACGTAGCTGTAGACCAATGCAGTGAATAAGCAGTAATGAAACGAATACACTGAGCTGGTAGCGCTCGTTCAGAAGAAATAGACGAGATCCAAGGTTTGGATATAAGGATTGGAAGGGCCGTGCCAGAGAAACAACGGACCCGACCGCTCACTGCCGACGCACCGATCTGATTGAAGAACAGTTCAAAAGAACCAGAAGAACAGTTCAAAAATCGACCAAACGCTCAGCCTGCAGTATCTCTAGTGGACTCATAA